AAAAGAGCCGGCTCTTTCGGCTCCCAAATGGCTCCTCAGTTTTTTTGTTGCTTAAATTAATTTACTACCAAAAATCATGTAAAATTATGTGTAAAATGAATTACTAATGTAAAAAATATACAGTATATCAAATTGTATTATTTATATGGCTTTATTTATATTCTTCTCAACATACTCCACATGGAGTACAACATGGAGTGCTACAAGAAATAAATTACAAAGTACAAAAACAAAGACCCATCTCAAAACAAGGTCAACAAAAAGTTCCAATCTCTGATTGTGTATATTTATAAGCTTTTAACTATTTTCAGTAAAACAACAAAGTAAGCTTTGATTACCACACAACAAATTATAAATTAAAAATTGATGTTGGATATTTTAAACTTGCACAGTCTACAAGCTGCTGTTGAACTATCAATTAAGTTGAAATCTGTCCAAATTTCACTGCGCTTTCTCTCCATTTTCTCACCTTTCCACTTTTCACCGTGTTGTTTTTTCTCTGTAGCGCTGTCGAGCTCTCTCTCGTCTCCCTGTCTCTCCTGTTCGTGTGCTGCTCACAGTGTGCTGCTGTGTCTCTAAATATATATATATATAATTTTTTTTTTCCCGGAATTTTCAGAAAAGTCCACTTTCATCTCTGACAATTGAAAAGGGAACAAAAAAGAAAACACTCACACCGGTATTGGAGAAAGGTGTTGACTAATTCTTTTGCTTTAAGGGAAGGACAACTAGAAAATTGAGATTAAGTTGTATTTATTTATTTTTAACTGTGTTTCTATGACAATAAATTTGTTGTCATGCACAACCGGGCCTACGCCCCTTCCCATCAGTCCCATTTTCTAACACTCGATCCGACTGAGTAATCTGACAGCAGGTGTACTTTCACAACCGACAGTTTTTGACCACATCCAATTATTTGACTTTTCCATGTCCTACCAATCTTTGTTATTTATCTCTGAAATACATGCAATTGGGGCTGCAAGCAAGGTTTTGTTGAATTAATGTGGTGAGTTCCACCATATGGAGCTGTGCTCTTTACATAGTTTTTAGATTTTTATATTTAATATGTGTAGAATATCTATTATCTCTTAATAACATATTGACTAATAATCTGTGCAGATCAGAGTAAAAATTCTGATGTTATAATTTTCAATCTGTAAATTATGTGCAACAAATACGCATTTTTTTCTTGCGTATTTATAAAATATAGCCTGCATAGTATAAAGAAAATTAATACTGCTCACGCACCAGTTTCAATGACAGCCTCTGGTCTTTTTAATCATTCACATTTGTCAACCTTGAAATTAGTGCATCCAGCAGTGTGGCAAAGAGAACAACAAAAATGCTTTCAAATGAGCAAATGCTTGCCAAATGTTTAAAACCCTCTGAGGCTCAAATTAAGTTTTTGTAACAGGAAAAATCTGATATTTGGGGAAAATTGTCATATGGGGTTGTAGTATACAATTCAGACTTTTTTTTTCAGTAAAAGCTTCACATTTAATGTATTCTGGGATGTTGCAGGTTTACAACATTTGCCCGATATGATAAATTAACGCCAAAAACTTAATATGGTATGAAAAGTAACTTTATTTGCAGAGAACGTTTCAAAACAATGTTTCAAAGTACTTTACAGTGGAAGAATAACAACAAAAACAACTTGGTATAGATTAGGAACAATAACATTTTTACAAACAATAACTTTTCATCCCCTACATCAAACAATATTGAGATATAATACCAATAATACTATATCGACGTCTCATCCTAATTGAGAAGGCCAGGTCTGAAGGTCACTTCTTCGTGTGGTAGTCCAAGAAACAATTTTTGTCCTTTGTAAAGCACAAAAGTACTTTGCACTTGAGACAGGCCATTTGTGTGGAGCCATTCTTGCACACTCTGCATCGTCCACGTTTATCAGCATGGATGGGAAAATGATCGAATCGGTCTAATCCAGTGGTTCTCAATTATTTTCTGTCATGCCCCCCCAAGGAAGAGGAAAACATCTCGCGCCCCCCTGGCCCCGCACGACTATAAATAGTATCATTTGTCTATGAAATTGTTGTAAGTACACCTTTGCATAACACTGTATCATTATTAATGTATAAGAGAATAAAAAAAAGAAAGAAATATGGACCAACGTACAACAAAGAATAGCTTTAGTAACTGGAACAGAAAAGATTTAAAGTGCATCCCAAATTCAAAAATAACATTACATCCTTAATTTAACAAATATTTTTTGACTGACCATGTCAAACCATACGATACTGAAAAATAAAATTACATAAAATCAATAACTAATAATGCATTCAAACTAATCACCAACATTATCTCAGGAGCACAATATTAAAAAAAAAAAACGTTAACCAGCAAAACAAAAATTTTTTTAATCAAAGATGATGTCTGGATTAATGGCTACAATGAGCACGTTTTGCAATGCACAGCTTTTCGAAGCGAGGTTTGAAGCAGGACACAGCAACTCTCGGCTCCTGCTCAATGTGTAGCCTGGACCTGAATTTGAGTTTACTGAAGTAGCAGTCACAAAGCGGCATGATTGTTGGCAATATTCGGCACTTTTTCGCTGAAAAAAACTCAAGCAGCTTATCAGCGTGATTGGGGTGTAATGTCTTTAAGTGACGCCTTAATTTATTTGGCTTCATGCTGTCCGCTACCAAAAGGTTAAGACACAGTAAGCACAGCAATCTTTCCTCGTCTGCCACCGCAGTCACATTGAAGCCAAGCGCTATATACGCCTCATCACATTTCCTCCCTGAGAATGCTCCCTGCGCAAACTCTGCCAATGTGAGTGCCACTGCCCCCTAACGTAGTGGAGGTGCAACTGCAGGTTATTTTAGGACAGTAAAAAAAAAAAAGCATGTTCCCCGAGGTCAAACGCGCCCCCCTTGACCGAGCCTCGCGCCCCCCTAGGGGGGCGCGCCCCACTATTTGAGAAACACTGGTCTAATCTGACCTCAACTGATGGTGTAATGATCCTCTGACCTGGAGTGAAGATGTGGCAGCTTGACTGTGTTCTAGAGCCTCTTCCGATGACGGTCGTCCTCTTTTCCGACTGTTCAAGTTAGCCCGTTAGCCAACCTTGATGAGGGCATCTGCAACTTGAGTGCGGAAGTCAAGAAATGGCATATACCGTATTTTCATGACTATAAGGCGCCATTAAAAGTCTTAAATTTTCTCCAAAATGGACAGGACGCCTTATAATGCGGTGCGTGTTATGCATGCACCGAGTTCCAAAGCCTGACTGAGAGCACCTCTGGCCGACACGCTGTTTATATAGAGAAAAGGTGGCCGTGAGTGACGACAGGCATGCGGAAGTCGGCCAATGAGTGAAGGGTGGGCGTATAAGAGGACGCGAAAGGCACGTCCCTAGCAGGTACCAGTCGCCAATGAGTGAAGGGTGGGCGTATAAGAGGACGCTAAAGGCACGTCCCTAGCAGGTACCAGTCGCCAATGAGTGAAGGGTGGGCGTGTAAGAGGACGCTAAAGGCATGCCCCTCGCAGGTACCAGTCGCCAATGAGTGAAGGGTAGGCGCGTAAGAGGACGCTAAAGGCACAACCCTAGCAGGTACCAGTCGCGTGAGTACATTGTAAAATGGATAAAGTACAACCGAACTCAGTTTTGCTTCCGTTGCCTTTTTAAAAACGTGTTTTTAGCGTGTGTCCGTATGTCTTAGCTGCTACCGTATGCTTTAAGCTAACATACCTGGTATGTTTTAGCGTGAATGCATGCTCCCGAATGCTTCAAGCTAACGTGTTTTTAGCGTGCGTGCATGCATGCCGTATGTTTAAGCTGGCGTATGTTTTACCATGCCTGGCTGCGCCCAATAATACAGTGCGTTTTGTGTATGTGTCAAATACAGAAATAGCACCCGTTACTGAGACTGCGCCCAACAATACGGTGCGCCGAATGGTCGTGAAAATACGGTACTTCTTCTCCTGCTTCTGGGTGAGATGATGGTGGTAGAGGAGCCAGCCATTGACCAGTAATAGGTCAATCAAATAGTACAAGATGCGCAGATACCAACGACGTGGGCGGAGTTCAATGCGATAGAGTGCAGCAAACATGTCTGCCAAGTCAACTCCTCCCATGTTGTTATTGTACACCTTGACAATGTGGGGTCTGTCCACTTCCACATATTCCTTCTTCTCTTTTGACCACCTGCATCTATCAACAGGATCAGGGCCACGCTCATTGGGTACGGTCCCTTTTGCAGTGTATACTTCAAAGTCATAGTCTAGTCCAGTGACATCTGCACGAGTAAAGACCTTGATTCCCCATTTTTTCGGTGTGTTCTTGATATATTGTTTCATTCTAATTTTTCCTTTGAAGGGGATCATCTGCTCATCAATGGAGTGGTTTTCTTCCGGTTCAACTTTCAGTTTGCACGGACTTTCTCAAGTACTGGTCGCACCTTGAACAATGGATCATATCCAGGCTCACCCTTTTGCTTCACATTGCTATTGTCGTTCATATGGATGTATGTTCGCAGATTATCAAATCGCTTACGTCCCATGACCATTGCAATTGGGTTTTAGCGTGTTGTTGTCTGCCAGTACATGTGGTATGATGGCATACGTACAACTGTTATCAATATGTGTAAACCAGGGGTGCCCATTACGTCGATCCTGATCGACCGGTAGATCTAAGACAGGTCCCAAGTAGATCTAAAGTTTTGTTTAAACGAAATTTAACATAAGTTTCAATTTTCGTGATCTGTAATTTGGTCTGAAAATGGAAAATATAATGAATTGCGCAAAAAGCAAGAAAAAAGAAATACAATAATATCTGCATAAATAAAATAGATAAAGTAAATAGATAAAATAAATAACGTTTTATTTATTTTAATGATATGAATACACAAAAACGACCTGCTTTAAGAATCATTGAAACAAAACGAACAGCAACATTTTCATGAACACCTTTTGGAATTTAAAAAAAAAAAAAAAAAATCACACGATAGGCCCCTAGTATCTAAATAAGCAAGCTAGATACAAATACAACGTTACTAATTTCAATAATTAAGAACAAAATTCTGTGTTAAGGGTTGAGACCGTTATTAAAAAAAAATGAACAAAGTTAAAAATGCGTAAAAATAAGCCTACTAATAATTACAAATCACACAAGAAAAAAAAAAGAAAAACACTATCATGTTTAAATAAAATGCAAAAGCTTAAATGTATAATACAATAAATGTCGAACATGAACAAGCCATCTGGACGTCTGCGCCGTAGTTAATAGCAATTACCGGTACATTACAGCGCCAGCTCAGTTTTATCCAAATTATTTATTTTAAAACAACTATTCGTTAGTTTAGTATCCGAACATCGTTTTAGTATACATTTTTTAAAACGTATATTTATTAAAATAAAAATAAATAAATAAATAAATAAAGTCAGTGCGAGAGAGAAACCCGACCAAACCCGAAGCAATGATTGACATTTGAGGCCGATCGGGCTCGGGCTCAAGATCTTAGTTCTACTTGGGACACACACGGGCCACAAGCATTTACATACCTTCACACACTTGGGACACGCATGTGACATGCACATACATACCTTCGCGCTCTGGGAATAAAACAGGTGCATGCAGAGACCGCGTGCGGAATCTTATAGGACTGAGCCCTGCTCAGGTCCGAAATGTCCGTCCACTGGGCTCCCCGTAAAGTACGCCACAACACCAATGCAGAGTGAAATATGTTTAAACACAACTTCTATATTTATAATGGGCTGCTGGGTTCCACGAGTCCACTCATTTTTAAGCCAAAAAAAGGGAACTAATTCACGTCAATTTCTTCCATAAAAACCCCAATGTTATTCTTCAGATATTTACACAGAAAGATATTACAGGTGAAGACGTTTTAAACTTTTTTATTCAATCCTCTTAGCATAAATAAATACGTACAGCTACCCTGAAATGTAGCACACGACTGCATTGTACGATATGGGTTGCTGAAGCTTTTTTTCAATCAACATTTCATAGACAGTATTCAAGTTTCTTCTAACATGTATAACTTAATAACGTAACTTCTTTTCTAACATATACCACATACCGCATCCGATAGAAAATGTCACTCATCCCCTTCATCACTCTCCTGCGCACTAAAACCATCAAAGTCCTCCAATTCAGTGTCTGAATTAAACAGCCTCAGGATCTCATCACTCACTGGGCCCACAGTCTCCTCTTTTTCGATGTCGCTCGAGTGCGCAGCGTCTTCTTCCTCACGCAGCAGCCCAGCCTTTCGGAACCCGTTGGTGATGGTTGATGTTTTGACACCGCTCCATGCACGTAAAATCTACTGGCAGACTTGAGTTAAAGATGCTTTGCGCATGCGTCCTGTTTTGGTGAAGGATTTCTCCCCGGCTGTCATCCAAGTCTCCCACTCTTCGCGCAGTGCCACCTTAAATGACCAGTTCACGCTGATATCCAGTGGCTGTAGATATCTAGTGGTACCTCCAGGAATCACAGCTGGAATTAAGTTTGTGCTCTTGATGGCAGCTTTCACAGAATCGGTTATATGGGCCCTCATGCTGTCCATAACGAGCAATGCTTTTTTCTGCGAAAAAATCCCCCCGGTCGCTTTGAGCAGCACTCTGTGAGCCATTCCTTCATTCGGCTCTCGGACATCCAACCTTTATGAGTGACTTTCACCACGATTTCCTTTGGGAATTTTTCCTTTGGCATCGTCAGCCGCTTAAAAATGATCATCGGTGGCAGCATAAGGCTCGATGCTGCGCAGCTCAAAACACAGGTAAAATGTGTTCTCGTGGCCGCTTATTTTCAGTATGACGGAGGAGTCACCTTTTTTATTTACAGTCCAAGTGAGAGGCAAATCAAATGTCAGAGGGACTTCGTCCATATTTATTATTTCATCTGGGCTGATGGAATTCTCCGCTATCTTTGTGTGAATGTGCGTGAATGTGAATTATGTCCTCATAATTGGGAGGGAGCTGCTGACACAACGTCGTGCATGCCCTAATAGATAGGCTTTTCCGTTTCATGAATCTATAACACCACGACGGCCCACCTTTAAAACCTTCAATGTTCATCTCGGTAGCGATAGCTTTAGCCTTCAGTCTGATTTGTACAGTGGAAACACCGCGGCCGCCTGCTCTTTGAGTGTTAACCCAGTCTTCCAGAAAGTTTTCAAGCTCAGGCCATCTGCTATGGTTACCTCTGAAAGCTTTGGTTGTCTTTTTACACTGGCTCAGTTCTTCTTGCCGGAGCCTCCACCTTCGCACCATCGACTCGTCTATGCCAAGATTATGGGCAGCAGCTCGATTTCCTTCTTTAACTGCCAGAATGATTGCTTTTAGTTTAAAAGCTGCATCATATGCTTTTCGTCTGGTATTCTCCATGTTGATCAGGGTTAGAAGAAAGGCTGAAATAAGGAAGTTGTGATTACCGGTAATCATACAATTTCATTGGACCCCTGTGTACTACTCATTCATTTTATTGGTCCATGTTTTTCCCGCAATGGAAAAAAATATTGCTATATTACACGCCGCAGTGTTGAAAGTGTGGAAAAAAAGTAGCGGCTTGTAATCCGGAATTTACGGTATATATTTATTTTGTAGTTTTCTTGACGCGGGCCGGTCAGAGTCAACCAAAGGGCCACATGCGAGCCGCGGGGCGTTAAGTGCCCAGGTCTGCCCTAGGGGAAAATCCAGAGGAGATAAAATCTACAAATTGGCAGATACTGTATCTCTATACGGTCATGATTCATCTTATACAGTATTGGTTTCAAAATAAAGGTGATTGGTAGTAATACATGAAATGGATGCCTAGAAAATCCTTTCATGTGTACCCAAGAAGAAAGACATGTTGAAAGTGAGAAAACTCGCCATCTAGTGATCTATTGGGGAAACTGTTGTTCATGCACAATGAAGGTCTGCAGTGGTACTTTCGAGTAAAAAAGGGCTCATAAAATATGAATGTGGATTAATTAGGGGATTAGCATTTAGTTGTTGCAAATCTGCGACATCTGCCCCAAGAGGGTTAAGATCAATGTTTTATTATGACCACAATACACACATGGGTTGTACATTTTCAGGAAGGCAATGAACAGATTTTGAAATAACAATGTAAAAAATCATAAACATACCCTTTGATTGTGGCAATGATGGTGACGTAGGAGTAGCATTCATCATAGCCTCGTCATCCTCATCATGTGTCTGATGCATCACCGTCAACACGGTTTCTCTGAGGAACAGAGCAACCACATTGATAACATTTAGATTATATGAACACCAAAATATATACATTTTTAGTTTAAAAAATATCAACAAAAATTTTGTTGGCAGAGAAAAAAACTGGGTGCAATTATTTCCTAAAATATGCAGATGTGTTCTTACCTTGGGATCAATGTTAATTTAATTCAGATTCTTGCCCTTAAACTGGGACAGATTTCCTGTCTCCAGAGCGATAGGAACCTTACTCTGACAAGGTATCACCATTCCTTTACCTTCTCACAGAACGTCATTGTTATGGGCACGATTCCCTTTGTTTCTGGGTAAATCTAGTTGTATTTTTCGCTCTTTGGACCTAGTTGGAAATTGAAGTACTCTTGCCACTTCAGGTTTATCTTTGTTTTGTTTCCAAATGGTGTGCAATTTTTCTGTAGGGCTTGGAGCAAAACACACAGAAGTAAGATTTGTTGTACAGCCTGCGACCATCTGTTTTCTTTAAAGTCATGACCGTCACATCAGAACCATCGAATGAAGATGTTTATGAGTAATCTGTGTCCAAGGAATCAGCACACGTCACACGTATTCTCTTCTGAGGTTGGACATCTACTTAACAGGAACTGGCTAGGGGTAAACCTTTGGATGAAGATTCTTGAGGTTTACCTGTGTCCAGGGTACAACACGAGTGGCATTTCTAACCACGTGCTAACAACAACAAATACTTACTGTACTACTGCGCATGTGTAATCTAGTGTGGTGGTTGCTGTTGCCGTTTCTGAGCTAAGCAGTAGGAGTCGCCATTTTCGCTGTAGTGAGCCTCATTGCGAGGCAAGGGTGGAGAGAACAGGGGATTTTTCATTGTAGGGGGAAGAAGAAAAGAGGGAATGACTTTAATGCATGACAATTTTTTCACACTAGGGGGTATTTTCACAACTGTAGGTTTCGTTGTAGAGGAGTTTCACTGTACATGGTATTTAATGAAGTCAGTTTTTTTTTTTTTTTTAATGTCCGTTTGGGTTTAATAATTCAATGTTAAAGTCACCACACATTAGTCACGTTTTCTTATCGTTGGAGTAACTTAGCATATTTTTGTTTTTTTATTGAATGTGTCAAGACATGATCCTGGTGTCCTATGGATGCAACTTATGATGACATTTGATATCTTTTTAATATGTATTTCAATAGTTAGACAATCCATTAGGTTCTCTATTGTGTTTGTCATGGTGTTGAACTCGAGCCTGTTGTGTTTCATGGAGTACTGGTGCGGTGGTAGACGATAAGTTTGTCATGTCTCAAGTAGGCAATTTCCCCTCTGTCACATGCAGCTTTTAATTTTGGGACAACTTCTTTTCTTTTTTGACGCACGGCATCTGTAAAGTCTTCGTTAAGTAGATTTTGGAGCCTTTTAAGTATTTTGTTTTCTGTAGGATCCCTGTTTTGTCTTTGTCTTTCAAATTTCACCACAAC